TCTCCTGGCTCTAGCGTTATATTTAATACACAGAAAAGGCGTGTTCAGACAGAAGGAAACTTTTGTCTCATGTCATTTGAGGAAATGTAACTGCTGGACCGCCCCAGACAGTCAATATACCAACTGTGCAGTTAATGGCTCTAAGTTAAAAATGGACACACTAACTGTGTGTGTGAAAGTGTTTCTGTGTACGTTTGTGCGACAGCTGAGCCCAGAACCCAGAAACTCTACATCACTGTGTTATGTTCCTAACAGTCTCTCTCCTTTTCCATCTCTGTACATTTATGGAGCGGACTCATAAAGCCCTGGTAATTGGGATACACTCCTTGCGTTCTATCTGAACACACAGTAACTCTCAGCAAGAAAATGCAAAAGCAGGTTCGTATATTTCCTTAAATGTCAAACTATTTCCAATAATTGATCTTCAGTGTAAGGAAAGTCATATGTATATGTTAGAGAGGTGTCTTGTAACGAACAAAGCTGACAAAACATGTCCCAGTCAAATAAACAAATGACAGCGGGCGTCCGTTTAACCTCTTTCAGCCACCCACCTAGCTTCTCCTAATACACTTTATTGACCAGCCAGGCAGTAGATGTGACCCGTCGGCTCTGGAAACAGCCACTTAGAGAGGGTCTTTGTGATCTGCCTCCCTGCTGCTGAATGCCTCTCATTGTGTGATTAATTGTGTGTGAAGCAGGCTGTGTGTGTCTTAAACTGGCTATTAAGAGAATATGTTGGAGGAACAGAGTGGAAGAAAGCAAGTAGCCTACATACTTTTTAGATTGCATAAAATGCGCTGCTTTTGTGTATTGAAACTGAATGTCAGCATTAACTAAAGAATATCTCTTTTGACAAAAATGTGTAATAATTGTTGAATATGTTAATGGTTTCTGTGCTATATAATGATTCTGATCTTTTTCTGAAGTTTTTATTGTTAAAGTTCCTATAGACAACAGACATACACACACACACACAAAACTCATTTAACTGTAAGGTGGCCTGATTTCATACAGGAAATGAACCCATTATTACTGACATCGAGTTTGTCACGTTTGACAGAAACCAGAGTGTGAATAAATGTATAGACACTAGAATGATGTGCTTTCTGTCCTATTCAATTTGGTATTTTATCAAAATAAGCTTGAATATTTTCCAGCCTCAAGAAAGTTTGTTTTGCACAGAGAAAAAGCCTGGAAGATGACTAAGTTAAAATTTATTAACATTTGCGACCCTAAAAATCTTATCAGTTTCTTGGAAGTAATGCTGCAGTTGTGGGTTGTCATGGGTTGCAGAACAGACTGTTCATGTTCTGAATGCGTAACGTAGCCAGCAGCTAGTTTTTAGAGATGCTCAGTGAAAACCCCAGGATCTCAGTCTGGAACTGCTAAAGTATCACCTGCTGATGTGTACAAAACGGCAACAGATTACTCTTCTAATTTAGTCCTGTATTAAGATTATACATTAAATGACAGACAGCTACTTTGACAGTTAAAAAATACATAAATAAATAAACATACAATTGCATGCAATTATTTCTATATTTATTTGACATTAATATGTAGTTTTTCTTCAACTGTCATTGTGGTTTAACACCTACTGTTGCAGCACTGGAAATATACCTGTGAAAAAGACAACCAAAATCCACACTTTACTGATTTTTAACCAGGAAATAAATGAACAGGTAAAGTTTACAGAATCCTGCAGAAATCATATTCTGTAGACACTTTGTTTCAGTTTAAAAAGCATTTGTAGAGCTGAAATTTAAAGACAAATGATGTTGGAATTAAATGAGAGATATTAAAGTCAATGGAAATTTGG